CCATTACCCATTTGTGTTAGCAGAATAAAGAGTGATAAAGTGCACACTTGGGACGACCAGTTGGGTGATAATTAATGCCGACACTGAGGCGCTCCCTGAGGGTGTCGTCCACCAGACCGTCAGGTCACTTACACCCTACACATATACGCCTTAATCACTAACTTAATAACATGGCGGACATAAACACCCTTGATGTGAGCCGTGGTGATGTGATGGATGAGCCGGTATGTATGGTGGGTGAGGGTGTAGCAGGGAGGGTGAGGGTGTAGGAAGGAGGGTGAGGGTGTAGCAGGGAGGGTGAGGGTGTAGGAGGGTGAGTGAGGGTGTAGGAGGGTGGGTGAGGGTGTAGGAGGGTGAGTGAGGGTGTAGGAAGGAGGGTGAGGGTGTAGCAGGGAGGGTGAGGGTGTAGGAGGGTGAGTGAGGGTGTAGGAGGGTGAGTGAGGGTGTAGGAGGGTGAGTGAGGGTGTAGGAAGGAGGGTGAGGGTGTAGCAGGGAGGGTGAGGGTGTAGCAGGGAGGGTGAGGGTGTAGCAGGGAGGGTGCGTGGGCGGCGTATATTGAGCGAGTGTGAGAGAGACAGAGACCATTTCATTTATGGGATCAATACCTACTCAGAATCATGGCTCTCTCTGTCTCTGTCTCTCTCTGTCTCTGTCTCTCTCTCTGTCTCTGTCCCTCTCTCTCTCTGTCTCCCCCCCTCTCTCTCTCTCTCTCCCTCCCCTCTCTTTATCTCCCTCCCTCCCCTCTCTTTCTCTCCCTCCCTCCCTCCCCTCTCTTTCTCTCCCTCCCTCCCTCCCCCCTCTCTCTCTCCCTCCCTCCCTCTCTCTCAGTACTCTCTCACAGAGTACTCTTAACACACACACAAGAATACTCTCCTTCTAAGTCTCTGGAGTGTATTTCCCCATCACAACTCTCCAGCATATAGTCTCAAGACACTGGTCCATTCCTTCCCATCCCCGGCCGAGCCTCAGCTCTGGGCCCCGGCCACACCAACCCCCATGCACCTAAACACACACAAGTATACATAGAGGCAGAATAATCACAGAAAACGTTTGATACGGTTACGGAAATTCACTAGGAAAGTGAAACCAAAGTTCCGAACGATTTCGTTTCAACATTTTACGAAATTAAATTAAATAATTGTCCCTACAGCGATTGTTCCTGGCTCTGGGGCTGCCACTCAGAGCAGGACGCCCCACAGAGTGCAGGTTCCTGGCTCTGGGGCGGTCACTCAAAACAGGACGCCCCACAGAGTGCAGGTTCCTGGCTCTAGGGCGGCCATTCAGAGCAGGACACCCCACAGAGTGCAGGTTCCTGGCTCTAGGGCGGTCACTCAGAACAGGACGCCCCACAGAGTGCAGGTTACTGGCTCTGGGGCGGCCACTCAGAGCAGGACGCCCCACAGAGTGCAGGTTCCTGGCTCTGGGGCTGCCACTCAGAGCAGGACGCCCCACAGAGTGCAGGTTCCTGGCTCTGGGGCTGCCACTCAGAACAGGACGCCCCACAGAGTGCAGGTTCCTGGCTCTGGGGCGGTCACTCAGAACAGGACGCCCCACAGAGTGCAGGTTCCTGGCTCTAGGGCGGTCACTCAGAACAGGACGCCCCACAGAGTGCAGGTTCCTGGCTCTGATGGGTGGTTCTCAGATGGACCGCTGAGAACCAGCTGGGTGTGTCAAGAGGTGTGACGGTACAAGAACCAGCTGGGTGTCAAGAGGCGTGACGGTACAAGCACCAGCTGGGTGTGTCAAGAGGCGTGACGGTACAAGCACCAGCTGGGTGTCAAGAGGCGTGACGGTACAAGCACCAGCTGGGTGTGTCAAGAGGCGTGACGGTACAAGCACCAGCTGGGTGTGTCAAGAGGCGTGACGGTACAAGCACCAGCTGGGTGTCAAGAGGCGTGACGGTACAAGCACCAGCTGGGTGTGTCAAGAGGCGTGACGGTACAAGCACCAGCTGGGTGTGTCAAGAGGCGTGACGGTACAAGCACCAGCTGGGTGTGTCAAGAGGTGTGACGGTACAAGCACCAGCTGGGTGTGTCAAGAGGTGTGACGGTACAAGCACCAGCTGGGTGTCAAGAGGCGTGACGGTACAAGCACCAGCTGGGTGTGTCAAGAGGCGTGACGGTACAAGCACCAGCTGGGTGTCAAGAGGCGTGACGGTACAAGCACCAGCTGGGTGTGTCAAGAGGTGTGACGGTACAAGCACCAGCTGGGTGTCAAGAGGCGTGACGGTACAAGCACCAGCTGGGTGTCAAGAGGCGTGACGGTACAAGCACCAGCTGGGTGTCAAGAGGCGTGACGGTACAAGCACCAGCTGGGTGTGTCAAGAGGTGTGACGGTACAAGCACCAGCTGGGTGTCAAGAGGCGTGACGGTACAAGCACCAGCTGGGTGTCAAGAGGCGTGACGGTACAAGCACCAGCTGGGTGTCAAGAGGCGTGACGGTACAAGCACCAGCTGGGTGTGTCAAGAGGCGTGACGGTACAAGCACCAGCTGGGTGTCAAGAGGCGTGACGGTACAAGCACCAGCTGGGTGTCAAGAGGCGTGACGGTACAAGCACCAGCTGGGTGTCAAGAGGCGTGACGGTACAAGCACCAGCTGGGTGTCAAGAGGCGTGACGGTACAAGCACCAGCTGGGGGTGTCAAGAGGCGTGACGGTACAAGCACCAGCTGGGTGTCAAGAGGTGTGACGGTACAAGCACCAGCTGGGTGTCAAGAGGTGTGACGGTACAAGCACCAGCTGGGTGTCAAGAGGTGTGACGGTACAAGCACCAGCTGGGGGTGTCAAGAGGTGTGACGGTACAAGCACCAGCTGGGGGTGTCAAGAGGTGTGACGGTACAAGCACCAGCTGGGTGTCAAGAGGTGTGACGGTACAAGCACCAGCTGGGTGTCAAGAGGTGTGACGGTACAAGCACCAGCTGGGTGTCAAGAGGTGTGACGGTACAAGCACCAGCTGGGTGTCAAGAGGTGTGACGGTACAAGCACCAGCTGGGTGTCAAGAGGCGTGACGGTACACAGAGATAACTTCCCGTCACCAGCTGGCCTTAACCCTACGCACTTCCCTAGATATTATTAACGAGGTCTTGGGCTGGTGTCCAACTGCTGACGCAAGCTCGCTATCTATCGGGGGGGGGGGGAAGGAAGGGGAGGAGAGGGGAGGAGAGGAGAGGAGAGGAGAGGAGAGGAGAGGAGAGGAGAGGAGAGGAGAGGGGAGGAGAGGAGAGGAGAGGAGAGGGGAGGGGAGAGGAGAGGAGAGGGGAGGGGAGAGGAGAGGAGAGGAGAGGGGAGAGGAGAGGAGAGGAGAGGAGAGAGAGATTTTTTATCTGAATGTGTGTGAATTTTTCTACTTTACCTGGATGGGGTTCTGGGAGTTCTTCTACTCCCAGAACTCACAAGTCCTTCTGACTTGTGAGAGCTTGGTCCACCAGGCTGTTGCTTGGACTGGCCCGCAGGCCCACATACCCACTACAGCCTGGTTGGTCCGGCATTTCTTGAAGAAAACTCCATTTTTTTTCCTTGAAGTTCAACCGTGAACCCTTGATGTTCATACAGTGTTCTCTGACTGTGCCTATGGCACCTCTACTCTTCACTGGCTCTATTCTGCATTTCCTTACATATCGTTCACTGCAGTATGTTATTATTTAATGTGTAAATTTGAGACCTTCATCATTTATCTACAATGAGGGGAACTGGCATTGCTTTGTAAATATTTCTGTTTTATCTAATTTATATATACTATGATGCAATCTTAGCAGACGACGAGTGACGATAACGTGGCTGAAGATATGACTATTGAACCACACACCAGAAGATGAGAAGTCCTGTATATAATTGATGACTGGTTATCACTTATATACAGGACTGTGGGGGGTGTGGTGGTGGTGTACACAGATGACACTGACCATCAGTAGCCAGTGTACACGGCCAGGGTCCAGTGGTGGTGGTGTAGTGTGTCGTAATACACACCCAAGTATACAACATGGCACCGAGTGAGGCTGGTATTAATGTCTGTGTCTGTATATTTCAGTATCCTGGTATTAACGAAAATATATACAACTATATCCAGGTACTAACGTACGGTTAGACCACTATATCCTAGTATTAACGTGTATATGTACCACTATATCCTGGTATTAACGTATATATGTACCAATATATCCTGTTATTAACGTGTATATGAACCACTATATCCTGGTATTAACGTGTATATGTACCACTATATCCTGGTATTAACGTATATATGTACCAATATATCGTGTTATTGACGTGTATATGTACCACTATATCCTGGTATTAACGTATATATGTACCAATATATCCTGTTATTAACGTGTATATGTACCACTATATCCTGGTATTAACGTATATATGTACCAATATATCGTGTTATTGACGTGTATATGTACCACTATATCCTGGTATTAACGTATATATGTACCAATATATCCTGTTATTAACGTGTATATGTACCACTATATCCTGGTATTAACGTATATATGTACCAATATATCCTGTTATTAACGTGTATATGTACCACTATATCCTGGTATTAAGAAGAATGTGTCTACCACTATATCCTGGTATTAATGGCTATAAGTACGACTACATCCTGCACATCTACTTCTGGTATTAATGTTAGTACTACAATATCCTCTTGGGTTAGTGTGTTTCAACGAGTAAATCTTGGTATTAAGGTGTATACCAAGTAAGATTTCATGTAATACTTGTTTATAGCAGTAAATCCTGTTTAATACTTGTTTATAGCAGTAAATCCCGTTTAATACTTGTTTATAGCAGTAAATCCTGTTTAATACTTGTTTATAGCAGTAAATCCCGTTTAATACTTGTTTATAGCAGTAAATCCTGTTTAATACTTGTTTATAATAGTAAATCCTGTTTAACACTTGTTTAAAGCACTAAATCCTACTTTAATGCTTGCTCATAGCATTAAATCCTGTTTGAATGTGTTTGTTTACAAGAAGACTGATGCAGTGTTACCAACCTGCCAGCGAGTGTTGTCGAGCAGGTGCTTGCCCGCGGCGCTGGCTACACTAGTCTTGGCCGTGACAGTGTTGGCCTTGGCGGCACTCTGGCCGCTGGACTTGGCCGCCGTGGACGTCTTGTGGCCCAACTTGGTAAACATGGGCATTGTGGTAGTTGGGACGGCAGCACTGGACAGAGCTGGGAATTGGTGGAGCGACCAGCCACGTGGGGAGAACAGGAGGGTTAGGAAGGACACCGTCCGTGGACGCCGGCGTTGACACGGACGCGACTAAAGATACACCTCTGCCTGGACACGGACAGGCCACATCCAGCTAGCAGCACACTCACACACACACACGCACACACACACACCCGCCTGAGCGACCATGCAACACTGACCCCTCCACACCGACCCACTCAGCATCTCTGGCCAGCACCCACCCACAGGACCACCCGCCAGCCAATCATCGCCGAGTATCGATTCCCGGAGATGCTATGAGCGGGCAGTGATTGGCCCAGAGGCCGGCACGTCACGCTGCCAAAAAGAACATGGGACTGCGCTAACTCCGCCCACCGCTCCCTTTGTTTATTGATCACACGCGGACCCCAGTTGTCAGCACACGTATGAAGCTCTAACCTTGCCAGAGATATATACTTATAAACTGAACTCTGTCAGCTCCAAGTCAGTCAGGAACATGACAGATGTAAGATGATGGCTCCTGATAGCTTCTTTTTTCCCCCGTCAAACGCAAGTCTTGGGTTTCGTCAGGTGTTACACAGCCATAAATATACGCGCTCATTACTACGCTATTCCAAGAGCCGTGTGGCAACCTTCCAGCCGCGCCAAGACCTTCCCTGCCATGTGCATGACGGAGCTGGGCTGAAGACTGGCTCATGGACTGGGCAACAGTTCACGGGCAGAAAGTGGCCGGAGATGCTGCAGGGCGGGAAGGAAACTTTCTAATCCTATATTTTTCTTCCTCTCGGCACTCAGTAGGGGTAACGGGTCAGCGGGCCGCAGACAGTGCTACGGGCACCACCGTCACCCACCTCGGCCTCTCCAATACTACATCGCAGTCTGACGTAAATATCCCCTAAGGCCAAATACTGATGTGCTAAAAATCACAGCAACTCGCAAAATTTACTTGATGTACCGTTTCTATTCGTGCTCCTTGGTAAGGTTAGGTTCGGGTAATTTAGTACATGAGTTTAGTGACGTTGTTGCCTAGTTGTTTAGTGCCTCCTGGATGTTGACCAGTCCAGCAACCAGGAGGCCTGGTCGGGGACCGGACCGCGGAGACGTTGAGCCCCGATATTATGGGAGGGTAAGGTAGGCTGGTAAGGCTGAGGAGGACGGCCTGGGTGCTTCAGTGTTCACTACACTCAGCTGGGCAAGAGAGCGGAGATGACCCGTCACGTCAGGTCTCTGCTGACGTACGCCTGCACTAGTAACACTCTCACAAGTTGACAACCTGCTGATGTTTTCCAGACTTGTTCTACTGCCTCTTGCCTGCCCTGTGGCCAGCCTTCCCTGATGAGCACCTGGTCTATGAGGCTGTTTGTGTCCGCAACCCCCACGACCCACACACCCGCCACAGCCAGGCACAACCGGCAACCCCAGAATAAGCTTGATACACTTGTGATGAAGCCTTCAGCCATAACAGTTTGGTCACTCACCATGTACAAACACAAATCATCTGATCTTGGGGTTTCGATCTGCAGCCTCGGATTGATTCCCCAATATGAACATAAACAGGCAAACGGGATGGAATAAGTTATGTAACTAAACATGATCTTAGGCTCATCCCAAGACTGAACACTCTTCAAGTTCAAGTATGTTTATTGAGACAATATAATACATCTCATAAGGATAGAGTAGCTTAGGTTATTTTCTACCCGCCATGAGCACTCTTAGTCTATCACCTATCCACTGGCCTACAGAGAGCCTTCACAAAAAAAAGTTATCTTCCGAGTAGCTTCAGAAGCCACTCTCAAAGGATACAGTGGTAGAAGTCCGCCTTTACTGTTATGTCAGGATATCTGTACCATTCCCAACTTCTCAAGACTAGATATCTGTACGGCTACGTCTAGCGAGCACAGCTGATGATTTACCAAGAGAACAGGTTGAACAATCGTCCGACTCATCATATGATGATCATTTTATGGGAGAATCGGATTGAATAATAATATGACGCATTTTCTGATTATTTAGCAAGAAGACGAGTTAAATACGCACCTGGTTCATCATGTGATGACTACCTAGCAAGAGCACAGGTTGGGTAGGGGAGCGACTCATCACGGGGCGACCAGCAGGTCAGCTACCTTTGACCTGACCTGCTCCGTCCCATAACCACACATGTACCGAGCATGTTGTTGTTAAAGATTCGCTACCTGGAACAATGTCCCAAGTAGCACGGGCTATGGTGAGCCCGTAACAACATGCACACAAAACGTCACATTACGCTGCGGTAATCTGTACATGTTCATCACATTTGGATCACATTCATCGATACAACGAATGAGGAGAGTTGCTCATACGGTGGAAATAATGATACAGTACTGACTTGTTAACTTTAAAGTGAATGAAATAGACGGGAATAAAGAATTATAAGATGAGTATACTGAGGTGTATAATGTATACTGCAGGATGTATACTCACCTACACACATTACTCAACAGGACATGTATTCATTTTACTCACTCCTTTCCTGCTTGTTCTTTGTCTTCTTCCCCTTCCTCGTTATCAAACTTTATTCCATTATTGTCTTCTTGTAAGTGTACCTCTTCCTTCTCCTCCTTCTCTCTCTCTCTCTCTCTCTCTCTCTCTCTCTCTCCCCTAATTTACCACCAGGAATGGGAACCCATTTCCCCCAGCGTCCAAGATACGGCCCGGTGAGCTGCCACAATCAGAAACCATCTGTGCTGGAAGGTGGCAACAATCGGGGCGGATCTGTTAATCACCTTGTTAGCCCGGTGGTTTAGGGCTGGTGTTGGCAGGTTGAAGCCCTTCCCCCCGAGTCTTCCAGCAGCGGGAGCACCTGAAGACTCCCCCTGGTGCTGGGGGCGGGTGCTGGGGGCGGGTGTTGGGGGCTGGTGCTGGGGGCTGGTGCTGGGGGCGGGTGCTGGGGGCGGGTGCTGGGGGCGGGTGCTGGGGGCGGGTGCTGGGTGCAAGAAGACAATGAGAAAGGATGAGAGAGGGAAATAAAGATAAAGGAAGAAACATGGGAGGAGGAGAATGCCAGAAGACAGATAACGGAAGACCTTTCCGTCTTGCAAGTGGTTATCAAGCTACTGAAACAACAGATGTACTGAAGACAGAAAAGCAGAAGGCTCTCTCCCTACACACAGAAATCACACTAACGTGATGCATCAAATGAACAAATCCACAAGGGACATGACGAGGATTCGAACCTGCGTCCGAGAGCATTCCAGACGCTGCTTTAATCGACTGAGCTACGACATGGAAGCTCAGTTCAGCTTCCAAGTCGTAGCTCAGTCGATTAAGGCAGCGTCTGGGATGCTCTCAGACGTAGGTTCGAATCCTCGTCACGGCCCTTGTGGGTTTGCTCTCTCCCTACTCTGTTCTTCCACCTGCTTACTAGCCGTCAGAATAGTTCACCTATAACACAACAGGTACAACAAGGGTGATAGGCGGGGCATCAAGAGCTACACCTCACTCTCCCGTAGTCACTGATAGGTAAGTTCTGATAGGTAATTACTTGTTTTACAAGTACCATTAAGTGGTAAGTGGCACGAACCATCTTCTTACTTCAAACGTCACATTTTTCACGAAATCGGTTCGTTAATATTATGACGTATTACTAAAAATTAAAAGCACCGTAATAAAGACGTTTTCTATGCACCGGTCCGAGAGGTTAGGTGGGTTGATTGGGTTCGTATATTTCTGGTTAGGAAAAGTTGCATTTTTTTACGGAGTGGCAGATTGAGAACGCGAGCTGATAAGGACGTTGACGAGTCCACTTGACTTGAACAGCTTTCCTTTGGTGGATCTGTTCTGTTATATTGTGGCTATATTTTCTTATACTATAACACAATGAATGGCTGCTGGTGTGTGTGTGTGTGTGTGTGTGTGTGTGTGTGTGTGTGTGTGTGTGTGTGTGTGTGTGTGTGTGTGTGTGTGTCTGTGTGTGTGTGTGTGTGTGTGTGTGTGTGTGTGTGTGTGTGTGTGTGTGTGTGTGTGTGTGTGTGTGTGTGTGTGTGTGTGTGTGTGTGTGTGTGTGTGTGTGTGTGTGTGTGTGTGTGTGTGTGTGTGTGTGTGTGTGTGTGTGTGTGTGTGTGTGTGTGTGTGTGTGTGTGTGTGTGTGTGTGTGTGTGTGTGTGTGTGTGTGTGTGTGTGTGTGTGTGTGTGTGTGTGTGTGTGTGTGTGTGTGCGTGTGAGTGAGATACACCCGCCACACACTCCAGATAAACTCAAGTATACTGACAAAGAACACATTGTTGGTGTGTTGAATCAGCCTGAGGTGTCATCACTTGTGCTGGTGTGTGTGTGGTTGAAGCGTGAGTGCATCAACCACAGCGCCAGGAGTGCTGAGTGTACCTGCCAAGGTTAGGTGAGGCCTCCACCTGCCACCTGACGTCTCCCAGTTACCTGTCGGAGTGCTCACAATCACCCCAGTCTGATGCTCACCACATCACACTCTCAAGGAAGTTACTCTTGCAATTAGGTGATTGTACCGTGATGTCATTGTGGCTAACTCATTGACTCGTGTCATGGGTACTCGTACACTCACTCACTGCTCATGTTGAGATCTCCCTCCCACCCTCACCTTTCCCCTGCATCACTGGGACTCATAAGTAGTGAAAAAGGTTGGCCTGGGGAGCGGGCAGAGAATATTCACGGCACGAGTACATTAAAGCACCGACATTACTGGTAACGCTCAAAGTCCTTTACAACCCACAACAGTTGCCTAACTCCCGGGAACCTGTTTACTACAATGACATGAAGTGTTCGGCAAGGCGTTCTGACATGAATAGAGGTGAATATTGGTGTGTGAGGCATGAGCCGGTGTATGTGTTGTGGGGCGGTGCTTGTGTTTACCCTCACACCTCACACCACACACACCCTCACACACACACTCATATCTCATGTCTTTACCTGCATGAAGCCTATCAAATGTTGTTCCCTCCCTCCCTGCCTCTCTCCCTCCCTCCCTGTCTCTCTCCTTCCCTCCCTGCCTCTCTCCTTCCCTCCCTGTCTCTCTCCTTCCCTCCCCGCCTCCCTCTCCCCTTCCCTCCCCGCCTCCCTCCTTCCCTCCCTCGCCAGTCATAATGAAGCATGAGTAGTGTCAACTAACCTGGCCAACCACACCCGGTCTGCTCACTCCAGGTGGGCTTCCCACCCATCCTATTATGTGGATTACAGGCAGCCGTGTGAGCCAGCGTCCCCCCG